AACCTAGTCACTTCTACTCTAACCATGACTATTTCGGAGATGTCGTAGTCTGTTACTACATAGATAGCGTCGTTGACTTTTTATCCTCGGATTTGCGAATTCGGAGCTTAGCGAGAACTGTTGGTCCCATTAATCCTTTTAACCCGTCAACCCCGAACGGTAACTCGTTTTCCAACCATTCAGCCGACCATTGGCCAACGATTGCACTGATCTCTAATCACGAAATCTGCCCATAAAAAGCGCTCATGGTCCCACTGATGCCATCAACCTGCTCCATAATGATCAGCGGACGGCTACAACTCGTACTAGTTCTCGCATTTGTTATCACTGCCTTGGTATGAAACTTACGCTATTGAAATAGGAGTTGTTTGGCTTTTGGAGACAGGGGAGATAGGGGGGCGGGCAGTTTTTGCTAGTTCTTGTCAACTAACAGGGTGGGGACGATCATCACTTATTTCAGTACTTCAATCTTTAAGAGCGGGATGGAGGAGGATGTGACCCGTAGGGGACCTCAATGGGATGGAGTCATCAGCATTACAGGGCGTTAAGCTAACATCCAGGACTACCAGGATCCCCCACCCCATTTTTCTGAATTTTTCTGACTTCCTACCGTCTCTACTACTTTTCCGAAGTTTTTTCTTATTTTTCGGTACTCCAGACCCGATGAATGATCCAAGTTTAAGGAATACATGGAGCATTGGGAATAGGAAAAAAAACCGAGAAAACTTTGCAATTGGAAACTTTCTCTTCTAAAGGCAGATACGACCCCCTTCTCTCCAGCGACCAGTAGAATTAGCCTCAGCAGGGAGTTGATCTACCCTAAAAACTTCTGAAAGTACCTAAAAGCTTCTTCACGAGTACATTCATCTAGAATTAGGGATTTTTTTGCTTTACCACACTTGCCTTATTTCAGGCAGCCACGACCAAGAAGCCAGTACGTGAGTTTTGAGCTCATTTGATTGAATCCTTTTGATAAATCATGGGATTGTAGGTAGGTAAGATTATCACGATTTAATTCCCGTGGAGCCAGTCTCTCATCGAAAAAAAATTGTATTTTGATGCGCTGTAAGTCTGTCTGTTTCCTAAGGGCGTGGCCAAAAACTGCTTTGCAGAAAACATGCTTGTACACACTTGGGGAGCGTCCTGCTAGGAGTTTTCGCTATCATATGTGGAATTCTGAAAGATATTAGATATCTTCAGGATTTTCCCTGATGAATGATACTTCACTTGGCTATGCTAATTCCAGAGTGAATCGAGCTCAAAAATGCGTCCGTTGTTCCCGCCAGTTGGCTGCGAGATCTGCTTCGCATCCGCCGCGCTCGATTGTCCCAAGTTTAAAATCGTTTGCTTTGGCCTCTGATTATTAATGTATTCTTTCCAGCTCTATGGGCGGGAAAATGACATGCCCCAGCAAAGGTAACACTGGCTTCCTGGAGAGCGGGAACTGTCAAACCAACTATCAAGTGAGTAGTTCTGATGGATTTCCGTCATAAACCATGTGGGAAGGGGTAACATTTGCAGAACAGAATCCTGACTCGCTTGGGAAATCTGAACTATTGTTCCAGACCCATAAAATGCCTGTAACAGCAGCTATCCAAATCATTGAATCTGGTAAAACCGCCATAAGCGGGATTTTTTCCCAAAAAGTTTTGTCGGTCAGGAGATTCATGTTGCAGCGACGTGGCGGGAATGCTTTCGTAAGCGGCATCATGTGGGCCACATTCGCACCAGAGCTTGACTGATTTCTTGTGAAATTTGAATTTGTCAAATAGCTAAGGAGTACGGGTTAGTTGCCACTTCTGTCCCAATCCGGATCTCCCAATAGTACTCTGTTTTGAGTATTTAGACGGCTGAGAGCTGACCCGGGGCCGAACCTAGCAACCACACACCCATACAGTAGTTACAGTAACAATACAGCTACCCAACGCAGGAGCCTCATTCCATATATGTTTGGCCCCCCAATAGATAGAAGGAAAAAATCGATTTTTTCAATTGATTGAACAGCCCCATTTCAGAATGTTGACGAACACAGCTGCAGGATGTAGAAGAATGCATGTTATCTGTACGGCACCTGCCGGTGGTACAATTGCCTCAATGGAGGTGCGTGCCTACCTCCAAACGTCTCATTTTTTTCTAAGGAATAGCGCATGCACATGTAATAGACGCATATTAACACGGGCGCAGTTTGACGACCGGGGGGGGGGGGAGCATTTTGCACTATCATTGCTTCCCCTTGGTTCCGGTTTACATGTCTCACTCTGGCGAAACTCTTGTGAAGCTGGAACAAGGTCGTCAAGCCATCATGTTAAAACCTGTCAACTCGAGAAGAGGCTGTCTAGATAGGTCGACACGTCGATGGAAAGTAGCAAAAGTGCAAAATGCCCCTCCCCCCCGTGGGAAACTGCGCGCCGTTAACTATAATTCCCCCCTACCATGACGCGTGACGTCAGGGTAGGGGGGCGGAGGGGAAATTGGTTGAGGGCAGCATTTGAAGACCTCCCTTGAAGACGCTGAGATTATCGTAACCTAAGACGCCTTTAGCACAGTGGTTGTGACTACCGAAGCTCCTTACGTCCTAGACTTATGGTTTAAGTAGAACTCATCATCAATTACGGTGATCTCAGTGCTGCAGGAGAATTCCTTCGAATGATCCTTTCACTTTTGCCTACGTAGGTAGGAACGCGTTCATATTTGGTGCCGCTCAGTTCGCGTAACTGGACCGCCTGAGCGATTGAATCCCGCGATCCGATCGCGAAGTATAGGTTGGAAAGAAAGTCCTGTCAGTGTTTTTTAGATAGCCTACAGTTTTTGATCTTCGAAGCTCGAACATGACGTAACATGCTAAGGTTGTAGAAGTTCTCGAAGCGAAGCTCGAACATGACGTAACATGCTAAGGTTGTAGAACATTCTCGAAGCTTTTCCACAAGAGGTATATCAAGGCTCCTGCTCTTCCCTGTGTTTATTTATGATGTCAGTTTCACTGGAGCAGCTTCGAGTGATCATCTTCTATGAGTGGCGCCGCGGCACTGGAGCGACGGCAGCGGCCCGTAACATCAACTGTGCATTGGGGGAGGACACCACCACAG